CACAGGCCTGCTACCAGCAATAATGACAAAATAAGCACAAAGCTAGAAGAAGGAAAGCAAGATCAGTGAACACAGAATGTGAGACACTAAATTCCCTTCAAAAAAGCAAAGATGATTTTTTTTACTATTATTATATGCTGTTTATGTTTCTCTTAGTAAACATAATCAATAGATGAGTGTATATGGATTGCATTTGGAACTGATGACTCAAGCAACAACGTTGTGAAGCACAAACACTGGCATCCTTAGATCTGCTTCCCAATAGTGCCTACTTCTTTAACAATAGTAATATTAATACACTAAGACTTGCCACATGTCTCTTTTGTTGGTTTATGAGATGAAATCTCTTCCATTGGCACATAATTAAAAATAATGTTGAATTTTCTTAACACTATCTGATATTGCTTTATCCACCACCCTCGGGGTACTATCTATTAATTTAAGGGTTCAATAAATGCAAACTGAATCTCATACATAAGTATAGATTAATAAAACATATAGTTATAATATAGAAGATAAAGACAAAAATAAAATACAAAGAAACCTGTCAATATATTTTCATTTACTTCAAAAATGTAATTTTGTTTAGTTTTGTCAATAGACAGAAGAGAGAAAATACATGCAGCATCTTTAGAATATTAAAGCATTCTTTATAACTAGATTAAATTTTACCACTTTGAGTAACATAATTATGCTATCAGATGGTGTGTGTGAATTTGATCAACAGCAACTGATATTTGGTTCAGCTAGATGGTACAAATGGTTTGCACACAACTATGAGTGTACAAGTTAGGGATTCAAACTCACCCAACAATACTGAGGAAGAAAGGCCTACCAATCTGCTACTGTTAAGATTACAACCATAAACACTCTTCTACTCTGATTTTATAAACCATTCTACTCTGTAGCAAATGGAATCATTATGAGTTTTAATCAACTCAGTGGGAATGGATTTAAGAACAGAAAAAGGAGTCAAAGTTCAAATCACTCAGTAGTTCTGGTAAAGCTAGAGGATAAAGTTCAAGATAATTAGTGTTATAATTTATGAATTTCAGTTATCCACACTCCTCATCACTAAAAGTCAAGCACTGACTACACAGCAAGGGATTTAATCAACCAGAAAGTCCGTTATAAAGCTGACACTAAACTCAAGAAAGGTTAACTAAATAGAGAATATTTAAAGATAAAAAGACTAAAAATTAAAATAAAGCGTAAAATTCTGTGAGCATTAATACAGCCAATGTTCAAATGGTATGTTTGCTTTAAGAACAAATACATTAAAAAAGCTCTTTAATAAGTATATATTAAAAAAAAAAAAAAAACCTCACTGCTGACGAGTTGGTTCCGACTCATAGCAACCCCTCCTTGGGTTTTGGAGGTGGTCACTCTATGGAAGTAGATTGCCCAGTCTTATAGATTAATTAAAGATATAGGTATAATATAGAAGATAAAGGAAAATTAATTTTATGTTTGAAATGTTATTCCCTGAGTAGTATAAACCTAAATTACTTTATATATAACAACTAAAGAAGATTTAGGGAGCTCTGGTGGCGTAGTGCCTAAGGCATTTGACTGCTAACCAGAAGGCTAGTGATTCAAATCCACCAGCCATTCCTTGAAAGGAAGACTGACTGGGCAATCTACTTCCCTAGAGATGCTGCCTTGGAAACCCAAGGGGGGGGGGGTGTTGCTATGAGTCAAACCAACTCAACGGAAATGAGTTGTTTTTTTTTTAAAGAAGGTTCATAGTGTCTTAAAGAGTGGCAACTTTAAATGAAAAAAAACAAAATAAAACCAATGTATGAAGGGTCAAATAGTCCATCCAAGAAGTTTAAAAAAAGAGAGTGCAGTTTGTACTATTAACACTTTATAACATACAATATGCTTATAAGCATACAATATGCTTCATTTGTGACACAGAGTGTCACAAATTTAACATCTCAGAGAATTTCACTTTGCTTTTCCAAAGAGGAAAAAAAATGAAAAACAACATAACTACATAACGGATTTAGTTTTTCAAAAGCTTCCAAGAGTGTAATGATGGATTTACTAACCAAGGGGGTTAAAAAATAAACTCACCAGGGATGTAAAAAATTGGTTAATATACTCAACAGCAAGATACATGTTAAAAGAGAAGGGATAAATCTAATCCAAATAATCCCCTATGCTTTACAGTTTTATAAGAAAAGGAATCGTGTAATTTCAAGAGAGTACTGGAAGCAGTAGTACTTAATTATAATTGCCTTCCATGAACACATATTATAAGGTCAAGCAGATAGCACTTCAGAAGCGTTAAAATGACACTCCAAACAGAGAAAAAGAAAAACAGCAAATACTTTCAAAGTCCATGTATATGATTTGGGTAGTGCCTAAGGCACTTGACTGCTAACCAGAAGGCTGGCAGTTCAAACCCACCAGCCACTCCTCTGAAGGAAGATGGAGCAATCTACTTCCATAGTGATACTGCCTCGGAAACCCAAGGAGGGGTCACTATGAGTCAGGTCCGACTACACGGCACATAACAACAACAACAAAGGTGATTTCAACTTTTTTAAAAAAAGTTTCCAGAGTTTTGATTATTCACTCTTTTGACATATATCAATTCAATTGAGCTGTCCTACTAAAAGTGGTTCAGATTTACCATTTGAATAGGAAACTATGCTAGTGTAATTCGGGTCAATACAATCTTCCTGTTTGCTGTATGTGGCAAGAAGTTGTAGGCTTCAAACCAAAGTTAATTACCCATTGTTATCAGATTGATTCCTACTTAGGGTGACTTCTCATGTATCAGGAGGATTGAGTGATCTACTTCTGTAATGATACCACCTTGGAAACCCAAGGAGGGGTGACTATGAGTTGGATCTGACTCGATGGCAGTGAGTTTGTTTTTTTGGTTTGTGTGTCAGAGTAGAACTGGCTTCCATACAGTTTCCAATGGCTGTGATCTTACAGAAGTAGATTGCTAGACTTTCTTCCAAGACATTACTAGGTTGATTAGAATCATCAACTGTTCAGTTAGTAGTTGATCGCAACTGTTTGCACCACCCAGGGACCTTAGAAGCTAACCAAGGAGACAAGAAATGAGAATGAGGATCATAGGAAGAAGATGTCATATGTCCCTACTTTTACTCATCATAATACAATGAACTAGGATCATTGATTTTCACTGAGTCCCACATGCCAAGTAGGTCATGAAATGATAAGCTAGGAGAAAGTTTCTTTATACCCTTAAATTCACAGCATAACCATCGACAGAGCTATTGCTCTGATATGTGAATCTCTGGATGTTTTGGTGACTTGCACTTATTTTCCATGCATTATACTACATGTTCAAAATATTTCAAAATATATATTCATTATTTCTAAAATCTGTTTACATAAATATACATTTTTGCCTTCCTATTAGAAATGATTATTTTTTCTTAAAAATATACTCCGGATGTGTCTATGTACTGCCTTCTATTTAACTCATAGAACAGTTTGCTCTATAGCATGTATACTGTGCCTCAGTATACTGAGTGATATGACAAGCTACAAAGTAATTCCATATCTCATAGCAGAAAAACAAAATGAGTCATAGGCTAAAGTCTAAAGACAATAAAACCTAATGTAAACAAATATGTATAGACTCTACTGCTTATAATAAATCCTACCTGGTTCATATTTGCAGATATAATTGTGCTTCATATTGCACCTATCATCATTCCACTGGTAAAGGTAGGGACCTCCAAGTCCAGGATTGGCAGTTGGTTGATGATACATCACAACACACTTTTCACTTCCACAGGAAGGTTCATCGGTGTACCAGTTTCTGCAAATATACAGGACTAGAAACACTTAGAAACATGTCTTCTGACTGCCATTGCCCATTCTATTCTAATACCCTCTACATGTAACAGAACCTCCATTTGCCCTTTCTAGAGTACCAGCCAGCCAGTTGCTATTGACTCAATTCTCACTCATGGCGACTTCATTTGTGTCAGAATACAACTACACTCCATAGGGTTTTCAATGGTTAATTTTTCAGAAATAGATTCCCAGGTCTTTCTTACAATTTCTTACAATTGTGGACTAGAACCTCCAAACTTTTGTTTGGCAGTCAAGCACCACTCAGAGACTCTAGAATAGTGCAGAGCACCATTCAACTTCTTAGGATCTGTACTCACCGATACTGGTAATGGCTTTTATCAGACCACTGGTAGAGATCTGGGCACGCACCGGATGTTAGTCCATCTCCATTTCTCCAGAGTCCTATCCAGAAATCACCATCAGAAATCCCTGTTCCTGGTTTTGTGAGGTTTTGCAACAAGCTTTCTATTAATTTCTGTTCTGCTTCATTCTCAAGGCTAAGAAGGGCTCCCCCCTCACTTTCACAAGCTAGGCGCGCCTCCTGAAAGCTCACTCGGCTGGACAGCTCATGGAAGTAAGCCATTTTGTAGCAAGGATGCTTTAAATCAGCAAAACACACTTTTTGCCCTGAAAGGAAGACATTGATTGATAAATAGGTCATCTGAACTGGATTCATAATGCTTGTTGTTGTTGTTGTTGTTGTGTGCCGTTGAGTCGGCCTTGACTCATAATGCTACTACTATGAATTAAGATTACAGAACCAGTCAAAACAGAAAATTTTCTATCAAGAATGCTATAATGTTGTAAAGTTTATTTTCCAGCTTGCTACTTTTAGTATATAAAATCTAAATGACTCCATGGTAGACTTGTAACATAAACTTTTACACACAGGAATACAAAGAAATATTTTGTTAAGGATATTTGAAACTTTTCTGGCTTAGATTTTTAGAAATTATATACAATTAGCTCTGGTAGCATTGTGCCTAAGGCACTTGACTGCTAACCACAAGGCTCAAACCTACCAGCCACTCCTCAGAAGGAAGGTTGAGCAATCTACTTCCATAGTGATACCGCCTTGGGAACCCAAGGAGGGGTCGCTATGAGTCAGGTTCGACTCCAGGGCACATAATAACAACAAAATACAATTAGCAAGTGAAAATAGCTAAAGAAATAACTAAGTGATCTGAAACATCAGTTACTAAAGAAGAAGAACAGTTAATAAAGTAATTTATTCACTGAACACAAGTACAAAGAAACAATTTTACAAAAGTGTCATGGAAAAGATGCTAAGTGGCAAATTTAAGATGTAAAGATTTGCTTTTATTGTGTGTAGCTGAGAGTAAATATATCAAAATTGATAGGTAATAGAAGCTAGAACAAAGGTAATTAAGATAATAAAAAATTATTATAAATATCAGGGTAAACATCTAGAATACTATCTTTGAAAAATAATCTCATTACCAAGTCTCTGAATATTTTCTAATTTTATAGGACACTGTGTGAGGTGGTTAAGTTTGTGTGTCAACTTGGCTGGGCCCGGTTGAGTGGCTGGGCAGCTAGTTGTAGTTATTCCCCATGGTAAGATTGATAGTTAACTCCATGGTGGAATGTATTGAAGGAGCTGAGTAGCTGCTTAGTGATGTGGTCTGCTTCCCATATATAGGAAGCAGCTTTGGGAATGATCTCTAGCTTATGGCACACTTGGACCCTGCATGTAGTTGTGTCATTGTTTAGCAGCCTGCCATGTTCTGCCGACCTTGGGATTTACAATGGACTTGAATTAATGGCCTGTCATGTGGTTTAGTAAAATCGGGACTGTGCCATTATATTTGTCAACCTTGGGCTTGTTAGCCTCAGAAGCCAGTAGCTGCCTGAGTGGAGAGATGCCTCTAGCTTCAATGGGCCAGGAGTAAGAGGCACAGCTGAAGTCCAAGGTCGAGGGGCTTTCACACAGCCCCTAGAGCCTGATATTTTGAACTTGGACTTCTAGCCTCCCAAACTGTGAGAGAATAAACTCCTGCTTGTTAAGGCCCTGTCATTTGTGGTATATATTCCTGTCAGAGTGGCACTAGGTAACCAAAACACTATGTGTGGCTTCCAATCTCTAAGCCAGTCTTCTCACTTTTTACACAGACATCTCATATAAATAAAATTAAAATTCTCAAATTTAAAATTAGAAAACCAAGTACAAAAAGGAATACATTTTATTATTTTTTTATTATTATTACCATTGTGGTTTGGGTGAAAATTTACAGAGAAAGTTTTTCATTCAACAATTTATACACATTTTGTTTGTGACATTAGTTGCAATCCCATCTATGTAACAGCACTCTTCCTACATTCTTCTTGGGTTCCCCACTTCCACTCATCCTTTTTTGAAAGTTCATCATTCTGGACTTTGTTATTGAGCAAAAGCTGCCCTTTTAGTCTCTCATGGTTGTTTGTTCTGAAGAGTATAATTCTCATGGGTGTTACTGTTCACTTTATCACCTATATTTTGGCTGATAGGTTATTTCTTAAGGTGAGTTCAGTTCCTGGTTTGAAAGGTGTCTAGAGGCCATAGCCTTGATGGTTCCACCAGTCTCTATCAAATGACTGAGTCTGGATTTCTTATGATTTTGGGTTTTGTTCCATATTTTTCTCCTACTCTATCCATGACCTTCTATTATGACCCCAATCAGAGAAGTCAGTAGTGGTAGCTGGGTACCATCTAGTTCTTGTGGTCTCAGGATAGTGGAAGCTGATGTTCACATGGTCCATTAGTGCTTTGAACTAATTGTTTCCTTGACTCTTTGATTTTCTTCACTCTTCTTTCCTCCAGACAGAGAAAGACAAAAAGGTGCATCTTAGGTGGCCACTTGCAAGCATTTAAGTCTCCAGTCATCATTCATCAAAGTAGGATGTGGAACATTGTCTTTGTGGACTATGCTATATCAATCAAACTAGATGTCCCTCAAGATTATGGTCCTAAGGCCCCAAGCCCAGTGACTCATTCTGTCAAGGTTTTTGATTATGGCAAATAAGTTTTCATTACTTTTCTCTCTGCTCTTTGATGTACATGAATATATTTGCAGATAATAAACATACGTATGCTCTGCCAAACATGTATATATTTGTGGTGTAGGCCCATTCACCTTCTCACACATCTTCAGCTTGTATGTCAAAAATGCATTTTAAA